GGGCAGGACCATCAGAGCCACCCAGGACCCCCACCTGTACCTACAGCCCATTACCAGCTCCCTCACTGCAGAGCAGCCTGTGGCCCACAGCCCAGAGCAGCCACCCCCTTCCCTGCCCCTTGCCAGCCTGGCTGTGGGGCATGTCAATGCCGTGAGAGCTGGGGGCAAAGGGCGGCTCTGACACATCGGCCCATTGTGTAATCTGGTGTTAGGGTTTCTCCATGGCTTCCCTTGTGTCCCCTCCACGTGTGAGGGCTGAAAAAGCAGGGAGAGGGTTCTGGTGGTGGGAAAGAGAGGCTCATGAGGGCATGGAGCTGGGTAACTGCGGTGCTGGGGACCACCGATCACCCCAGCACAGAGGCTGGAGACAGAACTGAACCAGGTAAGAAGAGGGTTGGCAGATGGAAGAGGGCAGAGTCAGACCTCCTCCATCTGGCTTGAAGGACAGCTTGGCACCTTGTGTCCTGCTCCAGGATCAGGCCAGGCTGGTTGGAGCCATGAGCATCTCCGCCTGGAGCGAGGCCAGGATGCACATTGACAAGAGGAGCACCTTGAGCAGGGATGCAGCAACTGCTAGCAGGGAACAGGGGGTACCCGCGGAGGCAGGCGCTCGCACTGAGCCCCGTGCTGGAGCGGGGACCCACATCTCCCCATCAGCAGGCACCATCCTGAGAGGCTTCCAGACCTCCAGGACCCGGACCTGGAGGGTTCCTGCTGACCCAGCTGCTGTGGAAGGCTCGGGGATCGATACTGTCTGGGACCCAAGGCCGCTTGCGCAAACCCAAAGAGGGTTTGGTCTTTAGTGATTTTCTTTTTTTCCCCCCTCTTTTTCCCAATGCTTCTTTTTGCTATCTGTATTTATTGAACAAACAGCTTTCCTGGGGCTGGTGCTGAGCTGGGCTGCAGAGAGCATGAGCATAAAGGGGCTGAATGACGTGGCAGAGGAGCTGTTAGCTGGGCCCTGTGACCCTACAGGTGCCTCAGCACAAGGGAGCACAAGCCTGAGACCCTGAGCTGAATCACGGAATCATAGAATGGCTTGGGATGGAAAGGACCTCAGGATCATCCAGTTCCACCCCCCTGCCATAGGCAGGGACATCTCACACAGGCCCTGTTCTCCGTGTGTGCCGCTTGTCCTGCTCCCATGGAAAACGGGGGCAAGCGTGGCTGAGGTTCAGGAATCTCAAGGAGACTTCCACTGGGGAACACCACAGAGCAAGGAGAGCACAGCCAAGGAAGGGCAATCCCCCTGGAGCCAGGCATAGCCCATGGGGCTGGCAAAGGGCATGGGTCCCCAGCACAGAGGGGATGCTCCCACTGCTGATAGCCCAGGAAGGAGCTATGATTTATACCCCTAACAAAGCTGCACATGGAAAAGCCCTCTCTGTGGAGCTCAGCACAGCCTGGGCTTACTTTGCAAGTCTTCTCCTTCATCAACAGAGTAACTCAGTGTAAGCATGAAGGCAGAGAACCAAGCAGGCTCCTTAGGGAGCAGAACAGGAGCCCTGAGAGCAGCAGGGTGCAACGTCCCACTGGGCATCCACTCTTCCATCACTGGTGGGAGAAGAGGGGATGAGGGTGGTGCTTACATCATGGTGTCCCCTCTCCATCACACTTCTTCTGGGGTCCCCTGTGTGCTCAGGGGGCTTTGGAGGTGGGGTCTCACTCCCAGCCACCATGACATGCTGCTGTACTGGTCCCACTGGGAGCAGTAAGACTGGTGGGGATCCTGCCTGCAGCCCCCAGCCTGGCCTGGTGCAGGCAGCATCGACCTAGCACCGGGTCTGTGCCCTTGGCCCGTGCCAGATCTGACAGAGAGGGCACCGCAAGGTCCCATCCCTGCAGCCTCCGTGCCTGGAGGGGATGGAGATGTGCCACTGCAAGGAGCCTGTGCCAGTATCAACAGACCCTGAAGCAAAGGTCCGAGTGCGCTGCGCCAGGGCGTCCCTTGGCAGGGCCCGGCTCTCCGGGAGCGGTGGGAATTCCTGAAACCCCCGCTGTTGCCTTGAAAACCATTAATGTTTAATTCCCAGTCCCAGGGGCGCTTTCCAGCCTGCGGCCCCGGCTCATCCACGCTGCGCATCCTCTGCCCGCCTGGTGCCAGGAGCCGCTCCCCCGGTGCCGGCTCCTCCGGAGGGGATCTCGTCGCCCCCGGTCCCATCCCTAAGGGCTGCCTGGCGCTCGGTTACCCCTCTTCCAGCCTCGCTGTCCCGGGGTGCGGCGCTGCCTCTGGCCGCCGGGTGGCGCCCGCGGGCCGGGGGCTGCCGCAGCATCGCTCCGGGCCCGGCCGCTCCATCGCCCCGCTGCCCCCGGCCGGTGCAGCGGGCACCAAGGGAAGCGGCGCCGCCGACCTGCCCTCCCTGGCCGGGAGCCCTGGCCTCGTTCCCTTCCCACGGCCGGACCCCGGCCTGCCCAGCCCTGCGGCTCCAGCCCTCCCTTCCCTCTCTGCACTGGCCCCTCGGTGCCTCAACCCGTGCAGCCCCGACGGCTGCTGCCCTGACCCCAGCCTGGTGCTGCCCCGTGGGAGAGGAGGAAGCTTTCCCATGCCTGTGCCCGGGACAGCATCGGAGATTGGCTCTTTCTTGGCCGGCATCGGTGGCAGAGCTGCATGGGAATGGGCACCGAGGCAGAAGCTGTACTCAGATGAGCTCTTAGGGGGGGACAGGGTGTTCCTGCTTCATCCACCTCTAGGGCAGGTTGTCAGGTGCCACGTTTGCCTCACCGGACACGAGGTCGGCGGCCCATAAACCATGTGTGCAGCAAGTGCTGGGCCTGGGGGGGACCCGAGGGGGTATTTTGGTCAGGTTGGTCGCTGGGCTTCACTTTCTGGGAACCGTTTAATCAACAACACACTTATGCAATGGGTGCAAGAACCACTCACAGCTCCATGCTGACCCCTGGCCTACATCCCATGGGCCAGAGTGCGCGGTGGGGGACACGACACACATACAGCTGCAGTGTGAGGGGGCAGCGGCTCAGATGCTCTTGCTAAGCTGGAGGTGGAATGGGGGTTTGTGATGGCAGCGTTGGGGTGCTGGCCAGTGCAGAGGGATCTGGCAGGTTTAGATGGATTAATCCCTTTGGGGAGACCCTGCCCCACAGCCTGGAAAGGGCGATGGGCTCAGGAGTAATTCACCCTCTTTGCCACAGCTCTTTGCCTCCTGTTTTGTGCTGTGGGTATGTCAGAGAAGGAGGAATTCAGCACAGCATCGTGCCTCAGTTTCCCTTCCCTGCATGTGTGAAGCTGTGGCATGGCTGCTGCGAGGTGGTGGTGACACAGAGGTTTTAATGCCCCTGGACCAATGCCACTCGGCGATGCAGCCTGGGGCTCCCTCTGGCTTGGTGCATGTGGAGGGAGCACCATGGGGAGGGGGGACCTAGTTCCTTCCATGGGTGGAAGTCAAATTTTCCATAGGGAATGTACCCTAAGAGCCAGAAAGGAACCACTCCACTTCCAGTAGAGGAACGTGGAATAAAAGGCACAGGAGTGAACAATGTAGAGAACCTCTGCAGGCAGAGCACGTATCCAAGTACCCAGGACGGGACTGACGGTGCGTTTGCAAGGCAGCGTGCAGATGTGTGCACACCACGAAACATCTGTGCGAGCAGATGTGTGCCCTGCAAGCGTGTACCATGCCCTGCGCACCGGTCCTGCTGCTGCCTGCGTGCTGCTGCCCACAGCCGGGGCTCCCAGGCCCTATGGGAGCTCTGCTTCCAGGCCAAGCTGTGCCCACTCTTTCCTCCTTGTTGACATTCCTGGGCTATTCTGGGAGCTGCCAGCAGGCCCGGCCAGCTGAGAACTTTGGCCCTTGCACCATGGTTGCATCATCTCCGGTGGGTGCTTTTTCCCAGACAGCCCACTGTTTACCTGTCACCTCTGTGCTTGGCCAGGGGCTCTGTGTGGTCAAGACCTTGGGGTCAGTGCTGCATGGCACAGTGGGCACAGGACATGCCTGCAGGGCTGGCTGGGCTTCAGGTTCCCACTGCTCTGGCACAGGAGCACTGGGCTCTCCCACACCCTCAGCAACGTGGCTCCTTGAAGCATCTTTAGGAGGCTTCTCCAGGCCTCAGCCCCGGCTCTGGCTTGTGCACAGCATCAGGGCTGAGATGTAGGGAACATCTTGAGGCTGATGTGAACATCTTGAGGCCAACTCATGAGCCCTCGGTAGACACAAGTGTCCATTATAACTTATGGGGAGCAGGGGGTGTAGCAGACACCCTTCTGGGCTTGCCCAGTTCTGTCTTGGGATAAGGCTGGACCGGGCAGCCCACAGGACGGGCTCAGACTCCCAAACTCATCACATGGCAGGAGTAACAAAGCCCACAGATAGAAAGTGTCCCCAGGGAGCTGCAGGGGTCAGCAGGGGGACTGCCCCAATCCCTGCTTTGTCCACCATCAGCAAGTTAGGGACTGGCCCTGCTGGGAGGCCAAGGGGGTGCAAGTGCAATGCACGGGCTGTGGGGCAGGGATGTGGGTTCCAAGGGAGGCTGGGATCCATCCCGCAGGATGCTCCACCGCTCGCGCTCCTCCCCACAGCCTGGATCTGCCCCAGCCCTTGCTTCCTGCAGGTTTTGGGTCTGGCAGGGATGCTCCGGGAGCTGGGTTGAGCTGCAGGCCAGCAGAGCCCCCCCGCACACGCATGGGCACACACCTGGTCAGGTACCACCATTTTCACACACCCAGTTGAAGCCCCCCATGTAAAGCTTCCCTTGTGTGCCCCCCCCTTCGAGTCCAGCCCCTCGGTACCCCCTCTGGTGTGGTGCGGGGCAGCTCCCGATGTGCACACACGAGGGGGGAGGTTGGTCCCCGGGGCAGCGGGGCCGTTCACCGCCCGCCTCCGCTGCGGGGGAATGGGGGGTGCGGGCAGGGGGGGGGCTAATCCCAGTAATCCCCCGCCCCGGCCGCGGCCCGACGGGACGGGACAGGCAGCGGAGCCGGCCAATGGCGGGGGGGCGGCGGGCCCGCCCCCGGCCGCAGGTGCCCAAAGCGGGCGGGCAGAGCCGCGCCACTCCCGGTGCCGGCCCGGTCCGTCCCGTCGGTGCGGATGGCGACGCGCGGCGCGGGGCCGTGGCTGCTGCTGCTGCTGCTGTCGGCGGTGCTGTGCGCGGCTGCGGCCGAGCCCCGCTGCCCGTCCTGTGCGGCCGGAGCGGAGCGGCGGCTGCTGGAGGAAGCGGCCAAGCGGCAGCTGCTGGAGAAGCTGCGGCTCCGGGAGCGGCCGCGGCTCGTTCACGCCGTGCCCCGCGCCGCCGTGGCCCGCGCCCTGCGGCGGCTGCAGGCGGGCAGCACCCTCCGGGGCCCCGACGACGACGGCGAGGAGCAGGGCTACGAGATCATCAGCTTCGCGCAGCCAGGTGGGCACCGTCCCCGCCGCCCCCGACGGCGCTGGGGAGCGCTGGGATGAGCCCGGGGTCCAACCGGGTTGGGGGGAGCCCGCGGGGATGCGCAGTTCCCGAGGCCGGGGCCCTGGGTACCCACCCCTCGCAGTGCGGGTGCCTGGGGCCACGCGGGCAGTGATTAAGTCAATTAATGCGCCTGGGGTGCGCCGTGACCTCCCCGCGTTGCGGATGCACCGGATGCACAGGGAGGCTCAGCCGCGAGGAGGAGGAGGAGGAACGGCTCCTCTTGCTCCCGCATTAGCCAGGTGGGACCGGACACCAGAGCTGCTGCGATGCCCTTGAGGGATGGGTGCAACCCGAGGTGCCTGAGACCCTCGGACTTGGATACTGCAAGGACCAGCTCGGGGGTGGTGGGGCTGGAAATGCTTTGTAGTGCGCAGCAGCGCTGTGGGTGACCCTGCTTGAGGGTGTCTGGGCAAGGTGACCACCGTGGTCCCTTCCAGCTTTGCCCATTCTGTGGTTCTGGGAAAGGGGAAGGGCTGGGTACTCCCTCTATGCCCATTTAGCCAGGCAGGATGAGACAGTCCCCCATCCCAACACCACCCTCTTCTGGTTAGCATCCCCAGGGAAAGTAGGAGGAAAGACTGCAGGCTCCATTGGAGGGAAGTTTGTAGGGCTTCCCTGTACAGAACCTGAAAGAGACTGGCTTTGATGCGCAGGGTGGTGGCGCAGCTTCACCTTCCCTGCATCCCGCAGCGTTCACCTCCTTCTTCCTTTCTGCCCTCAGAGACCACGTCTCCCTCTCGCTTGGGGCTGCAGTTCCAGTTCAGCCGCAGCCAGGACCAGGACGTTCACATCCTGCAGGCTCAGCTCTGGCTCTACCTCCGAGTCCCCCGGGAGCCAGCAGCCAGCCTCACCCTGCGGATCTTCCTGGCTGGTGGGGAGGGGGATTCGGTGGGGGGCAACCGCACGCTGCTGACTGAGAAGCACCTGAGTGCACGGGGCAGTGGTTGGCACGCCTTCACCCTCCTGCCTGCCCTGCGGAGCTTCTTTGGGGGAGAGCAGAGGACCCTGCGGCTGGAACTGGAAAGCCGCGGGGATGGGGGTGATATGGCCATAGTCAACGGCAGCTGGTCCCACCAGCCCTTCTTGGTGGCCAAAGCAAAGGTGAGAGAACCGGGTCACCACGTGGCCAAGCGCAGCCTCCGCTGCAGCCAGAACTCCAACCTCTGCTGCCGCAAGGACTACTACGTGGATTTCCGAGACATCGGTTGGAATGACTGGATCATTAAGCCTGAGGGCTACCAGATAAACTACTGCGTGGGCCAGTGCCCCCTACACGTGGCCGGCAGCCCTGGGATGGCCTCTTCTTTCCATACAGCCGTCTTCAACCTCGTCAAAGCCAACAACGTCCAGGCATCGGGGCACTCCTGCTGTGTGCCCACACGGCGCCGGCCGCTCTCTGTCCTCTACTTTGATCGCAACAGCAACATCGTCAAGACTGACATCCCTGACATGATCGTCGATGCCTGTGGCTGTAGCTAGGGTTGAGGGGGCTGTGCTGGGTACCCCGTTCTCCAGGACTGTCTCTTTAGGGGTGGGGGGAGATGGAGAGCTCCCTTGAGCTCAGGCTGTGGAGCAATGGACTCCTTTGGAAAGGGTGGGAGGGAGGGAGAGGGTCTCATCAGAGGGAGCAGGGAGTCTCCAGAGATGACCTGGAGTCACACAGGGCACAGCAAAGGCTGCATCAGGCTGCTGAGTGTGAGCTAGGGGTGGTTGGTGGCTCTGAGCATCCCTGCTCTGACTGGCAGCACCCCTCAGTTCCACGCTGACCCCATATTTTGGTCTGTGGGGTGAGGGACCCCATCTTTGCTCACATTCAGAGTGGCTGGCGACACTTTGGGACTCAGCCTCCTTGAGAGCAGAGTGGAAAGTGGGAATGGGTCTCTTTCCTCCAAGTGGGAAACTGGAGGATGAGAGGCAGTCCCGCTCTTCCCCCCTACTGCAACAAACCTTCCTGCATCACGTTTGGGATGGCTGGAATCAGGCACAAACAACAGCCCCGGAAGAAGAGGATGGGGGGGATGACTTTGTCAAGGACCCCCAAACGGCAGTGACTGGACACAGTGGAGGGTGACCTGGCCTCCTGACCAGGTCCTCTGTGTTTCCCTATCCATTTCCCTGGTGTCTGTGCTTTCCTTCCCTGCTGCCCGCCCTCCCAGTCAGGTCTCTCCCAGCCTAGTGCCACACAAGGAGGTCTGACTCAGGCTCTGCCTCTAAGACCACACTAAGGGTACAGATTTGTTCTTGTACCTCTAGGTTTGCAGCTATCACTGTTTCTATGGTAGGGGTTTCTGTGGCTGTTGGGACTCCCTGGTGCTCCATCCTCTCTACCCGCCCCTCTGCCCTGGCCTGCCCGATACTAACACATGAATGCATCCACATGGTCTGTGCTTTTAACTTATTTCAATACCTCGGTGCAGCTTCCCAAATAAATGGGTGGAAATGCAACACCCGGGCTCCGACTCCTTTATCCTGGCACCTCCTGTGGGAATGGGGTGGGGGAAAGGGTCCTGCTTGGCTGGAAGGTCCAGCTCCTGGCTCTGGGGCTGGGTTGGGTGGGAGATGGGGGGATAGGACAGGGGCTGGGATCTGGGTACCACCTCACTGGGGCTGGAACATGAGCATCAAAGGAGTGGTAGATACTGCCCAACCTGAAAACACTGTTCCCTACCAGCACCAATCCTGAACCAAGCTCAGTTATTGACCAGCTTGAGTGACCTCAAATGACGAACCACAGCCCCCCCCCCCCAAATCCTGTGTCCCCACTGCAAATAGCAGAGCTTGTACCTACCCATACCCCACTGACCTCCCACATCCCCTCACACATTCCTCCCTAAGCACCACCCAATGACCCCCAGGCTGAGCTCCATAGAAGCCAGTGACAGAGCCTGGCAATGCCCGAGCTGGTGGGTGATGGGGAGTCCTTTGGAGTGGGATGCTGCTGGCGTGGGAGGCAATGCCCCCTGCTCATCCCTCTGAGATCCCAGGTCCTTGTTGCGTAAGGGCCCGCTCAAAGCTCAGTTTGGGGCCGTTTCATCTCGGGACAAACCCACTCGCTTTCCCAGCTTGGCCCTGTGCTGTGCCCTGCAAGCGGACAAAGGGCAGCTTTCATCAGCCAGCCCCAGCAGGCACCCCCCCAGGCTGTGGGGGCAGCATGGCCATCGCCCACCCTCCCCAAAGGATCTCCACCTATAGGGATAAGGCACTGGCAGGATGCCTCAGCCTTCCCGGTGCTCCCACAGCCCCAGCACGTGTGCTGCTGGCCCCTTGGTGGTGCCTGTGTCCTGCTATGGATGCGCTGAGAGCTGCAGGTGTGGATTTGGGGTGAGTGCATGGGGAGGTGCGTTGTGTCCTTACAATCCCTGCTCCCCCCTCCAGAGCATCACTCCAGTGTAACTGTGGGGCAGGGCAGGCAGGGCAGCATCCCATAAAGACACCAGACACCCTATTTCCCTTTGGAGCAGCACAGCATCTTCACATCACAGTGAATTTATGTTCCTATATGTGTGTACCTATAGGAGGGGAGGCCGTCCACATGTGTGTGCGTGATGTGCTGACTCACTGACACACTGACACGCTGACCCACCAGCCCTGAGCTGAGGTGCTGAGCTGGTTGCGGTGCTACCATTAAGTCCTTAATCTGGGTGATCATCTGGCCCTGCTCTGAGCCGCTTTAACTTTCCTAAACAGGAGGTCAAGATTAGTGCTGGGGTGGGGGACGTGGCAGCTGGAGGGGGGTGTTGCTGGTAGGGAGCTACCCAAGTGTTGTTTGAACCCCAGGGGCTCAAAGCTGGTGTCAAAATGGACCTGGGCCTGCCTGGCCATGCAGATGGAAGAGATGGATGGTCCTGGGGCAAGCCCTCAGACCCCAGGAAGGTGGCAGCGCTGGCCCCACAGCATCCCCAGTGCCCAGTGGGCCTTTCCTGGCAGCTTAGCAGGGGTCACACTCAGCTCAAGAGTAAATCTGCTGAGCTGCTTACGCCTATTACAAAACGGAGATGCAGGCAATGCCTTTCACCTGCACCCAGCACCTTGGCCCTCACAGGGCTGATGGATGGGACTCCATCCATCAGAGCATCCTGGGGGCACCTGTAGCTGTTTTCCCCTTGTGCCAGTGGATGGAGGGGTGTCTCTTCAATCTTCCCCACTGGAGGTCCCATGCAGCCAATGGAGACGGCGTTTCCTAGAGTTGTGCTATGGTCCATGCTGTGAAGCTACCCCTGCGGTGCACTGGCCACCTGCAGTGCGTGATGACACACAGGGTTATGGGGAGGACAGGCTAATGCAAGGCATAGTGCCCAGAGCAGGGGTAATCCTGCTAAGAGGCTCTGAGGACAGGCTGGGTGCATGGTACAGCTCCCCTCCCCTTCGAGGGTCGCACGACACAGGCAGTGTCGTTCCGGAGAGCAGGATGAAGCCGGTAGGAGCAGTTGAGCACTGGGGTAGGGTGAGAACAGCCACGTCCCTACATGAAGTGTACCCGGGATCAGCGGGGGAGCTGAGCACGCACAGGATAGGGCAGGAGCTCCCTCCTAGCAGGCTCTGTGCCCGCGGGAGCCCTTGGGAAGAGGCAGAGCAAGGAGGGAGCGGGGTCCCCAGGCGAGGACGGGGCGGAACGGCCCCGCCGCACCCCGGGGCAGGGCCCGAGCCCGCCCGGGTGCTGCAGCGGGGATGCTGCTCCTCCGCTCGCCACCAGGAGGCGCTGCCCCGCGCCGGTCCCTGCCCCAGCACGGTCCCTGCCCCAGCCGCTGCTGCTGCCCGTGCTCCCGCAGTCAGAGAGTGAGGGTGAGGGTTTGGGTTAGGGTTTGGGTTAGGGTTTGGGTTAGGGTTGGTTAGGGTGAGGGTTAGGCTTAGGGTTAGGGTTCGGATCAGGGTTCGGGTTATGGTTAGGGTTTTGGTTTGGGTTTGGGTTAGGGCTAAGGTTAGGGTTTAGGTTTGGGTTAGGGTTAGGATTAGGTTTAATGGTTAGTGTTAGGCAATGCCCAGTACTGCCTGGCTTAGGCACTAGGGCTGCCCCGGTGTCCCGTTGAGGGGATGTTCGGCCCGGAGGTCGTTGTCTCCCTGCCTTTAGTGTCCTGCTCCGGGGTGGCCCGGCCCGGAGATGCTGCGTGTTGCAACTGCCCAGCTGCCATCAGTGGTCCTCAGTCATGGATGGCTTAGTGGTCCCTCCCTCAGGCACCCGCTCCCCTTGTCCATGCCAGGGTCTCCTAAGGGATAGATGCTCTGGCTGCGTGGTGGGTCTGGCACTCTGGATGGTGATCTCCACTCAGTGATGCTGGGGTGCTGGGGCAGGCTTTGTCTTGGTCTCCCGCTGTACTCAGGTTACTGGAGGTGCTGGGCCCGCACTTCTCTGCTGTGGGGTGTTAGCGTGGGGGGTCCTATGTCTGCTCCCACTGCCCCCAGACCCTTTGACCTCTCCCTTGATGCAGTGAAGGCCTAGGGCGACTGCGAGACCCTGGCCCTGTCAACCGGTGCCTGCGCATCCTGCATGCACACACGTGCATTGCCCTGTGCATGTGGGGTGCACGTGTGCCCGTTTGCCCATGCACAACCTCCTTGGCGTGTTCTTGCTCACGGGTGTACACGGACGCGCGTGTGTCCCACGTGTGTACCCGTTGTACCCACACACAGGTGCATGTGTGTGCGCCCACCCCTGTGCCCGTGCCGATGTGCACACGAAGACACACGGTGGGTGCCCCGGGGTGCCGTGCACCCGTGCGCGGACAGGGGTGCCCACGCGTGGGGCTGCGGGGCTGTGCAGGCCCGCTGCGGGTGCGCGTGTCCCGCGTGCGCGCCCGCGGGAGGATCCAGCCCGGGTTTTCGGGGTGGCTGCAGCCGGCGGCGCTCCCGGCCGGGGTCTCCGTCCCGAGCGCTCCCGGCGGCGCCGCCGCCCGAGTTGGCGGAGCGGGACCCGCAGCCCGGTAGTGCCGGGACGCGGCCCCCCCCCCTCCTCCGCCTTTGCGGGGGCTCCGGTAACTTTCCCCGGGAGCCCGGGGCGGGCCGGGAAGTGCGGGGGGCGCCGTCCCGTCCCGTCCCGTCCCGCCCGCCCACCGGGGTCCCCCCTGGATGCGCCGCTTCTCGCCCGGACCAAGCCGCAGCCGGGGGAAGGGAAGGGAAGGGAGCGCGGAGCCGCGGGTCCCGCCGCCTCGCTCTCGGAGCCGCCCGGAGGTAGGAGCCGTCGGCGGGTCGGGGCCGCGGGTGCGGAGCTCCCCGAGGGAGCTGGGATGGCTCCAGAGGCTCCGCCGCGCCGCGCCGGGCCCCGTCCCGCTGGGAGCGGGGGGTGAGAGCGGGGGGAACCTCGACCAGGGCCGGGCAGAGCCCCCGGGCCCCGCCGCGCTCCCTGTCCCGTCCCCTCGCGTTCGTGCCCCGGGTGGGTGCAGCCCCGGCCCCGGGACCCCTCGCAGCACGGGAGGGAGCGAGGCGCTCCCAGCGCTGCGGGTGGGGAGCGCTGGACCGGGAGTCCCGAGCGGGTGGAAGCTGCAGCCTTGGCCCGAGTGACGCAGCAGCTACGGGACTGTCCCCACGAGGGTGAGCGGTGCCGGCCGCGCTGCTGCAGCCTCAGGCCACCCATGGGCACAGCGGGATGTACCTGGGCTCCTCGTGGGCCCCCGCACCCGGCCGTGTTGGCCGCGCATCCCCGCAAGCAGCACCCGCTGCTCCCGGGACCTTGGGAGGGCTCTGAGGAGAGGAGGAATTGGCGCTGGGACAAGGGGGTCCCCCTGCTCTCCTGACAGCTCGGCCAAGCCACGTGGGCCAGGAGAATCCGTGCACCCCAAGGAGCCTCCCAGAAACCAGGACAAGATGCCCCAGTCCCTGGTGCTTCCCAACCCTCATCCCATAGGCCCTGGGGCTGCTTCTTCCCTGCCCATGTGGGCTGCAGCAGAGGCTGCCTCAGAAGCGTCCCACGCTGGGAAAACCCGGAACCATAGAAGAGCCCAGGTTGGAAAGGACCTTGAAAGGTCCAAGCCTTCGTGGGACAGGGAGCTCAGTTTAAGTAACCTGGTTTGGGGGGGAAGGCAGAGCTGGTTTTGCACTTGCTTGTGGAGCACCTCGAGTCCTTGGCTATGACAGGTCTGAGCGGCCCCAGCGTGCTTGCACAGGGGCTGCCGCTGGCTTTAGCACTCAGAGAGCTGGGGCTGGGGCAGGTGAGTTGGGTGAGGAGCCCCCGTGCAGGGCACTGGGAGACCTGGCAGCCCTGTTTGCAGCTGAGCATGAGCTAACTTGAGCCTATGCAGCCACTTCGGGTCTGACCAGAGCAAGGCACCCCCAAACCACACCAAGCCCTCAGTGAGTGCAGGAAGGTTAAAGGCAGAGGGACGGCTGTGGCATTTGTGATGCTGTGTTTGGGGTTTGGGAGAGCAGTGGCTGCTCCAGCCGCATCCCAGTGCTGGAAGGGATGTGGAGGCCCAGAGGATGCTTCTGGATACCCAGATACTGGAGTTTCCCCC